CCCCCTTCCACCCCCTTTCTCCTCGCATTCCCCCTCCACACTCTACGTACCAGTCGCGAAGCCTGCTGCTCCACCGCCCCCGGCGAATGCTTGAGACAAGGCTCGTCCTCTGTCGGATTCGGGTCCGGGTCCGGGTGACGGTCCTGATCCACTGACAGCAGCAGCAGCCGATCCTCTTGGTCTAAAGGAGCGTCCGGGGCGGTAGGGCCCCCCGTATCCGCCATTGCTGTACGACTGAGCCGTGGCATGTGACCCGTGCAGGTAGCCGGGCCACCTGCCTGGGTAGTAAGGGTAGCTGCCCGAAGTAGCCTGGGCGCCGGAGTAACCAGTGGTATACCCGGGCAGACCACCAAACGATTGGGAACCGGAAGTAGCACTGGATGAGGTAGCTCCGTTTGCACCAAATGACTGGCCACCGGCAAATGACTGACCTAGGCCACCTTGGCTGGACCCAAAAGCCCCAGCGGTTGCAGTGGCACCTGATTGCCCTCCTCCGAAACCAGAACCAAAGGATCCCGAAGTGGCAGAAGAACCGGACTGCCCTCCAAACCCAGAAACTAAAGACCCAGCGTTTGCCGTTGCACCCGACAATCCCGCTCCAAATGACCCTGAATTGGCAGAGGCGCCTGAAAATCCACCCCCAAAACCAGAACCGTAGGACCCGGATGTAGCAGTTGCACCCGATAGGCCTGCCCCAAAACCGGGACCAAAGTAGCCTGAATTAGCGCCTGCCTGCGCACCCCCGTAACTAGAACCTAAGGATCCGGAGTTGGCAGAAGCCCCGGATACTCCAGTCGTCCCAAAGCCGGTTTGGTAAGTTCCTGCATTGGCCGTAGCGCCCGACTGGCCCCCGCCTAAACTAGATCCAAAGGACCCGGATGTAGCGGTGGCGCTCGATAAGCCAGCCCCAAAGCCAGAACCGAAGGATCCCGAGGTGGCCGCTGCACCTGCTTGTCCACCTCCAAAACCAGAACCGAAGGAGCCGGAGGTAGCAGTTGCTCCTGATTGACCACCCCCGAACCCTGACCCAAAGGTACCGGAGTTAGCGGTAGCCCCTGATACTCCAGTCGTTCCAAAGCCAGATCCAAAGGTGCCCGAGTTAGCAGTAGCCCCCGATACGCCAGTCGTCCCGAAGCCAGATCCAAAAGATGCTGAATTGGCAGTCGCTCCCGACAGACTTCCACCGAAACCAGATCCAAAAGAGCCGGAGGCAGCAGTGGCACCAGATAGTCCAGCTCCAAAGCCGGAACCAAAGGATCCAGCGGTTGCCGTAGCACTGGCTAGTCCTCCGAAACCGGAACCAATGGACCCGGATGTAGCACTGGCGCCCGATAGTCCGGCACCACCAAAACCGGAACCAAATGATCCGGAGGTTGCTGTAGCGCCCGCCTGTCCACTTCCGAAACCGGAACCAAAGGATCCGGAGGTAGCACTCGCACCAGATAGTCCGCCAGCCCCAAAACCGGTTCCAAAGGAGCCCGAGTTGGCAACAGCGGCTGACTGTCCACCACCAAAACCGGAACCGGAACCAATGGTCCCAGCTGTAGCAGTGGCGCTGGATACTCCCGCACCGAATCCGGGTCCAACAGGGGCAGGAGGCGCCGCGACAGGTTCAGTCTTTTCCGCTAAGCTGGCTGCTGTTGCCCCTGCCTCTGCCTGCTCTGCCTCAAGTGCCGGACCGGGTGGGCCTGACGTGACACCTGCTGATGGCACAGCTTCAGTGTTGAGAGACCCGGATGAAGCTGATGACTGTTCTGCTGCTCCACTCGCCGATTCGGACGTTTGGGCCGTTACTTCCGTTTGACCGCCCTCCAGAGATCCAGTACTTGCTGAACCGGATCCGGCAACCGCACCCCCAACTTGAGAAGACTCGAGTGTGGCCGCCTCTGAAGTTGCGGTTGCTGAGGCTTGACTTGACTCAACTTGTCCGGCGGTTGCCGTTGAGCCCGCTTGATTTCCTTCAATCCCGGTTTCAAACGAAATGCTGGACGCGATTTCCTTCAATCCCGGTTTCAAACGAAATGCTGGACGC